CCTTTGCATATTTTAAGATAGAAGTCGTTTTTAGTTTTTTCCTGCAAGTACAATTATAAGTCAAATAATAGTTTTTCCTCGGTATTTATAAATTGATTATTTTAAATCATTACATACATATATATACTATTAAAAGGAGTACAACACTACAATAATTGCACAATCACTAATTCATTAAAAAACAGGGACCAGCCCTGAAATGTCTCTATGTTTCGGTGTTCTAATGCCACCATCTTTAAATTGCTTAATTACCTACTTTGTATTTATATAGACCACAAAGAAATATTTTTCTTTCACTATCTTGTTTTTCACCTGAACGATACCTTATGCATACAATGTTTGTTTATTAAAATTCACGAAAGCTACTCGAGGGCTATCTGCTCCAGCTGTCCCTAGGTTTGAAGTGAAAGATAAATGGGAAAGTAGCTAGTACACGCCACCAACCGGCTACTCTTGAGCTACTCTTTATCAATGAATAGTTGGTTTGACCATTACATTATAATGTACCCTCGGCTGAAAGGGTGAGCATGTTCGGTGACAGTTTTCGATCCCGCAACTTGCGAGTCGAGAATTTTTAACCACCAAGCTACAGTTCAGGAATAATCGTCCCTAAGTTTGATCTTAGGACTATCGTGAAGATAGTCGTCCCTAAGTTTGATCTTAAGACTATCGTGAAGATAGTCGTCCCTAAGTTTGATCTTAGGACTATCGTGAAGATAGTTGTCCCTAAGTTTGATCTTAGGACTATCGTGAAGATAGTCGTCCCTAAGTTTGATCTTAGGACTATCGTGAAGATAGTCGTCCTTAAGTTTGATCTTAGGACTATAGTGAAGGCAACCATCTGGCAGACAGTCTCGCCGCCTAAAGCTGCTACTCTTTATAACGAGACTGACTGTCACTCTGGAAGTGTAAAGCGTATTTATTTGCATCACATCTTGAGTTCGAGACTCTAAGATCCCCAGGCAGTGCATTAACTACCTAGGTCACGCTTGGGTCCTTTTTATTAGCATAGTGAATGAATGCCACGGTTGTTAAGCCTAGTAAGTAAAACAATTACGAAATAACAACGGGTGTTTTCTTTATATTGTAACGAATTCTCAACTCAGCATAACATGCATTTTCTTCCTTTAGGGAACCATCCGACATTAAATAAAACAACAAGTAAATATCAGAAATTTTATTTATATGAATTATAGAAAACTCGAATCCATTTTCGGGGAAAAAATCCCGTTAGCTGTAAATATTTTTATATTAACAAAAAGACTTTAGTTTCTTCGTAATGGAGAACAATATATCAACAGCAGTTATCCAATTTCCATTGTGAGCTAATGACAAAGTACAATATATCTATATTAACAAACGTTTTATTAGTCTCATCTATCTTGTTATGTAATTTAATGCTAAACATGAATATTTTAATTTTGACTAAAGTTGTTGAAACATTTATTTAACAACAAGTAAATGCTTGGAATGGTCTATTCTTTCATTGAATTAAATTGTGGCGAAATGCTACGAGTTCTACAAATACCTATACAATGACAGGTTTCTTTTTTGTGAGTGTAAAACAATTAAATACACCATTTCGGTTTCCGATACCTCAGTACTATAAAGGCTTGGTTTGGTCTGATATTTCATGTTTTCGTGACCACAATCTCATCTTCTCCGATGTTCTCGCCACCACTGTCCCCACTCCGAGAAACATTTTTGCACCAGCTGATCACCTACTGAACTTCTATGTCATGTCCCTCCCAGTTGACAATCCCGACCACGTCGAGATGCCGATGTCCCCTCTTCCCCCATTTTATCTATCCTGATT